GCAATATTTCTATTAGAGCGTCAGCATATTCAAATTTGTATCGCGTTAGACTCATTCAATGAAAGTGCTCCCTATATCTAAGAAATCATACTAAATCTGGAAATCAAAACGTTTGATCAAAGGAGAGATAATCTTAATTTATTCACCGCATCATTTCTTTTTTTAAGTAACTCGAACTTACAAACTAATATTAAACGTGAGGAATACTTACCTTCCGAGAATTTTTACATGGCATTGAAATTTGTATTAAGTGTATGATGATGATCATATAATGTCATGTGACACATCATGAATAATGATATGTGTTTCCTACTAGGCTACTACTACTACGTTGATTATTATGGTACTACATACAACGTGGGACAATGGGGCTCTTCGATAAATTGGCTTAGTAGGCAAGTAGTGGTTCATCATTGATCCTAAAAATAAAAATAATAATACATATTTCTCGTCATATTATTTCAATTTATATGAATATAACTTGATTTACTATAAAGTTAAAAAAAAAAAGAAATTTAAAATTTGGGGTATATAACAAGTTATAAATGCTTTGGCTATAAATCATATTATTAAGAACAAAATGGATATTTAAAATTGATTTATTACTCAATATAAAAATATATCATTTTTGTTTGGACCGACTAAAAAATGGTGTGTCACCAAAATTGAGACAGAGAGTACATAGATTAACTTTTCGTGAATTGGCAATTCAACACTCCAACTTTGAGGATTTACATTTAAACACCTTAATTTGTTTCTATTGCAGTTGCATTTGAAAACTCCAACTTACAAATTGATCATTTAGGAACTTTTAAAATTTATGTGTCATGTGATTTCTATGAGATAATTTATATGCTAATATATATTAAGTTAACACAATCGATAATTGAACTGTATAATTAAAATTTATTGACAAATTTAAAATTCCGACGATATATTATAACAAAAGAAAACGAGGAGGAAAAAAATAATGATGGAAATAAGTAATTAATCGTCCATGGACCATGCACTTGTCAAATTCATTGTAATATTTGAGCATTTTGGTTATTAGGATCAAGATATTAATTTTGGTACAAAATTTAGGATTATGCTACCTATAACCTAATATCTAATTGTCGTATTAACTAATATAAAAATTAAAATTTATAAAAATCAGAAAATGAATTTCTCGTTTTATAGGTATTAAATATATTTCTTTAAACTTAATTCAACCTCATATTCTTCAAAAATTTAATTATTATTTTCAAAATAAAAAGGAAATAATTAGTGTTCCAAAAATAGATTAGGACGTAAATATATTATTTAAGATTAATAAAAAGGCTTTGTTTTTTTTTCCTAGGCCGACATAATTATTCATTTATTCTCCTGCTCTTTTCAAGGCTGACCAAATTTTAATTAATTTACAGTCAATGCAATAATTACTAAACAGAAATTTCAATTATTAACGTAACTGACGGTTACTTCTCTGTCTTAAATAATTTGTTGTGTATTTCTTTAAAAAATATATTAATTCTAATTTTATTTTATTTTTGTTTATGTTCATATTTAAAGATTTTTTTATTAAATATTTATTTTATTATTATGTTTGTAATCTAAAAAAATAATTAATCTAAATACTTAAGACAAAAGGAAAAAAAATAAATTATCTTAAACTTCTATTATAACGAATGACAAAGAAAACTATTTTTATAAATCACGACAAATCATTTAAAATGAGTGAGTACTTATATATATAGATTTATTAGAATTTTTGAGAATGGTAAAATTAAATAACGAGACACCACTTGTGAAATAACATGAAATATGATGTTGTTAAATTTATTTTTTTAATAGGATGAAAATAAATAAAGAGAATTTACTTTAACTCATATATGAATATAAAATATATAACAGTGTTATTATGTTGATGGTGCTTAGTTATATGACATTTCAATATTTATGAATTTGATTATGTTTAGTTAGTTTGACTTGAAAACGATTGCTTAAGTTTTTATTCAATTGTGAGATCACCTCAAAGTAACATGTGAGTGCAATCAAACTTATTTATAACGATATTGTTATAAAAAATATTTATTTATTATTTTTGTTATTGTAAGGTGACACAAGCAATAGTTATTATTGGAAGAGTTGATACAATAAACTCATAATCATAAGCGTTCTAATTAGTTTAGGAATTTAAAAACAAGGCTAAGCTTATCGATGAATTGAGATGATTACATTTACACTTATAGCTTTAGTGTTGTCGGACATGTCATTGGCCAAAACTAGAATTCGACAAATCTATAGTGGTGCATTTATATTTTAGCCGTAGAGCTATTTCGTCTTTCTTTTATTCTAACTGCTTTGATTGTCTTAATATTATCGAATATGTCTTAAAGAGAGCATTTGAATAAGATTATGAAAATATGAAATCTTCAATTTTCGTCTAAAACATTTCAAGCAAGTCAATTTTCGATCGATCCCTGATCCCATTGGAAACTCACATTTTTGGCAAGTACCATTAGAAATAAAATTGTTCAGTCTGAATTAAAATCAATGTACTACTTTATTTATTTATCAAATAGTACTACACTATAATTATATATAATAGTAATTGATTGAAGACAAAAGAGTAAATGCAGAAGTATTTTTTTCCAATTGAAATCATTAAGAACAAGTCCTTTTAGTGGAGTCTGTTGTACGGCGATGAGTTGTTTAAAATTAATAAGAAGAGGTACCCTTAGCCTTAGGGCCGGGTCGGACATAACGAATATAAACTTTATTTAGATGTTTGAACTATGATTTATTTTGATACGAAGAAGTATCTTTATTAAATTTCAAATTTTGGAAAAAATTTAAAATATCGATTACATAAAAAAATGTATCAGTTAAAATATATCACTTCTTTTAATTATACGCATTAATTTTAATAAATCATAAAAAGTCATTCAAAATCGCTTTAAGATTGTTTATTGGTTATACCAATACACTATCTAGGTATATTCAATTAAGACTGATGTGCATAATTAAGAAAGACAATATATAAACATGTCACTTAATTTAACCTTAGTTAATATCTATATCCTTTAATTTTGGGTTAGTGGCGGAGCAATGACTTTTATTAAGAGGTGCCAATAATTGTATGTAGTAAAAAATGAAGCTATCAGAGCTAAAACACGCGACCTCAAGGAATTTTCACGACCCCTTAACCACTAGATTAAACTATATATATGAAATAAAAATTAAACATTTATATGCAATGTAATTTTTCGGCAAAGTGATATAGCTTGTCATCCCTTGGCCAAGGGTGGCTCCGCCCCTGCGTTGGATAAACTTATATAAAATTGAACAAGTAAACACACGCGTTCTAGTGACATAATACAAATCATTTCGAGTTTATCTCATTTAATTTGTCACGTAGAACATATGTGTATATACTAGTTTAACCTTATATAAGTTTAAATATCTACTTATACACATTCAAAATTGAAACATATATATATCAACCGAAACAAAATTAAATAGCACATTTATATATTACGGAAAGTGGGTGACATATAACCCTATACACTGCAACTTACAGAGTGTATAAAACTTTCCCTTATGTTTTCAGCGTGGGGCCATGTCAATGTCTATGTCTACTTGACCACTTATACTCCCTCTGTCCACAATTGTTTGTCAGGGAAAGGTCATGTACATCCTTAAGGAAAATTTAATATAAGGTTTAATTTGACTAATATAACCCTACTATATCAAGAATACCAAAGGTCCACATAACTTTTCAATTGAACTACACAATCATTAAGGGCAGAATTGGAAAAAAGTGACTAATTATTTCTTGATTGTTTAAATTGACAATTAATCTTGGACATCTATTTTTAGTATACCTGCCAAACAATTGTGGACGGAGGGAGTATTATTTATTATTATTGTTTCACTCTTTTTGCGCCGTAGGTAATGGGGCAAAAACCCATACTTGATTTTCGTAATTACTTACAGCATTACGCTTAATTAAAGTTAAAGAATATACTTAAATGACCATTTATTATTAATAGTAATTTTAAAATTTATTTTGATCAAGTATTTAGAGTAATTTTGTTGTGTGTTCTCCATAGCTCAATACACAAATAAGTTATGAAGTATTTTATTTTTAAAAAAATTAAACACAATAACCTCAACAAATAGTAAAACGTCAAACAATACATTGATGTATATAATTAGAAGAGAAAACATAATTTATGTGATCAGCTTAGTTACCTAATAGATTCTTAAGAATAAGCGTAGAGACTTTTCCTAAATGTGAATTGAAATATCTAATATATTGAATTAAAATAGATTATAATTTAAACATCCAAATAAAATCTACTAATAAATTTAAGAGGTTAAAGCTATTTGAATAATTGGTTGCTCAATTTGTTCAAATAACATATTAGCCTTATAACTAAGTGCATGTCCCTATCTATTTGTCCACATACTCTTTGTTATTGCATCTATTTATTTATTTTTTGGTTTGTTTTTGCGCCGTATGCATTGGGGCAAAAACTCATGCATGATTTTCTTAATTATTTACTACTACTCAATTTGGTCAATTAAAGAATCCCATTAAATACCAATTTAATTTATATTATCATACACTAAAATAATGCGGCAGCTGTTATTATTAGACCTATGTCCTTGTCATTATGAGCAGTGAATACAATAAGAAAGTAAATGAAAACAGAATTCACCCATATCTTAAAAGAGTAGTAAAACCTCTTTTTTCGGAAATAAATTAAATAATATTTCCACCACTTTAACTTTAGTCATCTCACTAGTGTAGGAATAGTTGAATCACATCTTAAGATTTCATTAACCCTACACATTTAGTCATTCCATGACTAATCATACAAAGAATATTCTGAGTAAACCATGAGTACCTTACTTTTTTCAATTGCATCATTATTCACAAAATAAAAGTATATGTACTACTAATAATTATAGAGTGCACCAACTTCAAATTCAAGAAAAATTGGCTTCAACTAGAGTTGATTCACTAAATTAACATACAAAAATTTGAAACTACAAAAGAAATTCTGCAAGTTCAGAACTAAGCCATAACTAGTAGTGGATTGGCCATCTTAAAAGAGGAGCTACTACTAATAATCATTATCTAATTTTAGAACATTTTTCACCCATTTTAGAAGCTAATTACATACAGATTTATGATTAATACTAGTACTACTAATAATTATCACCAGGCCATCTTCTCTTTATCTACAAGTTTTTAGCTTTTGATTTTCTCTAAAATTAGCAAAAAGAGCTCTGATTATTTTTTCCAATCTCATGATTATCATCACATAATACTGCAGGCATTTGGGTTCTCATCACTAAAGAGTTGAGGGGCATGAACTGATACCGGGTACGGGTTCTGAAACTGGTCAGCTGGATAAACCGGCCCGTACATATACGGGTATGGATACCCAAACTGGACTTGCTGCTGCATCATCTGCATACCATTACCTACATTACTATTCATTATCATCTCTCCACCACCAAAACCTCCGTCGCCACCACCTACCTCATCCTTCACCTTCCCCTTTCCTTCGCCATTGCCTTCCCCGCCTTTTCCCTTCGCTTTACCACCACCATTGCCACCTTTTCCGTTTTCACCACCACCGTCACCACCTTTCTCTTTCTTATTATCTCCGCCTTCCTTCTTCTGCGGCACAATTTCAACTTCCTTCTTCAAATGTTTCTTCAACATCTCCGCCAGCTCTTTCATGTTCATCGACCCTGTCACAGTCACCAAATCCTTCTGTTTGTCTATTTTCATTTCCTTATATCCTGCACAATCACCGCTACATATCAATTTTCCATCATACCATTCACAAAAAACACAGTCCAAATCAATCCAACGAAAGAAGTAACGGGAGTACAAGAAACAATAACAAATCTAACAAGGAGAAAAAAAAAAGGTTTCAAATCTGACCTTTGCATTTGGTGACAATTTTGGAGATCTTCTGTACACATCCTTGACAATGGAGATGCACCTTCAGCACCGCTGTGGTGATCGGAGGCTGTTAAACAAAAACAGCAAAAGTAATGAGAAATTCAAAAAAATCTTAAGAACGAATTAAATGAATAATAAACATCTGAATATTCAGTAATTGTTAGTTTTGACTAATCATCGCCGTAACTGATAAACGTAAGAATCACGTAATTATTTGAAAATTCAAAATTTTACAGATGAACAGTTAACTGATGCGCCAATACAGGGAACAAACTGCTAAAATACGCATGTGATATTTTGGCACACATGATTTTACCGATTATTCCGGAGACAAATGAATCAGAAGAAAATTCTATTGTTTTGAATATACTGTGAATTTGAAAAGAACAATTGAATGATGAATGAGACACCAAAATACGCTAAAATGCGCCAGATGCGTAAATGAGGACAAAAAGGGGACAGAATAACAATGGAAGTAATGAAGCAGAATGAAAACGACGAGCGAAACGACGCGACAATTTGTCAGTAATTTTTGCAGTACCTCTTTCTCTTTGGTCTTTTTGTCTTCTCCTCCTCCTTTGTTCTCTTTCGCATCCTTTTCCTTGTTCTGCTTCTTCTTCTCTTCTCCGGCACCGCCGGCGGAATCTCCACCGCCGCCTCCTTTTCCTTTGCCGTCCTTTTTTGGTACCGGCGAAACAAGTTCAACATTTTTGTGTGTTTTCTGTTCAACTTTCTCCTTTAACATCACCGGATCAACTTTTCCGATAACCGTCAACTTTTTCGAATCGGCATCGCACGTAACTTTCTCCACACCTTTATTGAATTTCAACGCACAGTGAGTAAGTATAATTATGTATAAGAGAACTTGGAAAAAGCAAAAAACGCAGGCGGAGCCTCATTTGCCTTTAACTTTTGACTCAGAGAGTACACAGTACATTTCAACACACTCTGAAGAAGAACAAGCAATTAATATTCACAACTATCAATTTTTTGTTCAATTAAAGCAAAATGCAGAAACATTGAAAACTCGGCTCTGCCAAACAGAAGAAGAACAACAATAACATGCCAAATTTTGTTCAATTAAAGCAAAATGCAGAAACATTGAAACAAATCACTAACAAAAAGAAGAAAAAAAACAATAACATATCAATTTTAGTACAATTAAAGCAAAGGATGCAGAAACATTGAAACATGGCACTACCGAATAGAAGAAGAATAACAACAGTAATATGTCAAATTTTCATTCAATTCAAGCAAAATGCAGAAACATTGAAACACTACTCCACCAAATAGAAGAACAACAATCACATGTCAATTTTTTATTCAATTAAAGCAGAATGCAGACACATTGAAACAAAGCACTACCAAATAGAAGAACAACAACAATAACATGTCAATTTTTCGTTCAATCAAAGCAAAATGCAGAAATATAGAAACAAAGCACACTACCAAATAGAAGAACAATAAAATTTAGTTCAATTAAAGCACTACCAAACAGAAGAAAAACAACAACAATAAGTTACACATATTTCTGTAAAATATTCAAAGGAATACGCCATTGTAGTTTACCTCCAACGCTTTTTATCGCTTTGACAACTTTAGTAACACAACCTTCGCAATGAAAATCCGATTTCAAAACCACAGTTAAGTTTCCATCGTTCTTCTTCTCTCCTCCTTCCTTCTTCAGCACTACTTCTCCACTGTTATTCTTCTTCTCTCCTCCTTCATTCTTCTTACTCTTCTTCTGCAAATCAACAACAACAAAAAAAAAATAAAAAAATCAGTCACCGGAAAACAAAAACGCCATTGGAATCACCATTTTTGTTCTTACCTCGCCCATTATGGATACAGATATATTCTAAGAAGACTCTAGAAAGTAGAAAATGAATATGAGAGCAGAGCAGAAAATGTGAGAATATTTATATAGAAGTGGGTTGAGGGGAGGAAGAAGGGTAGTTGTGTGTATATGTGTATGTGCGAGAGAAGTGGAGAGTGGACCGTGTGGTATAGTGAGCTGTCATGGGAATGTGTGAGATGTCATCATGTCGTAAGTATATGCATGTTATGTTATGATGATGATTCTACTTTATGCATGGAGGAAAAAAAAAGCCTTTATACATATCTAACGCCGTTAAATTTATCAGAAAATTTCATTTAGCAAGTGTTTGAAATTGCAATTTAGGATTATAATTTTAGTTCTCAATTAAAATAAATTGGAATTTTAAATCTTTGTTTCAATTTCTTTTTAAATGTAAAACTTGACAAATAAATTATTTTCTGTAAGAAAATAAATCATCATTTTAAATTTTATAGAAAAAGACTCATGATCACCATGAAAGATTATACGTACAATGTGAAAATATTATAACTATTTTTATTTGTCTATTAGATAATTAATTTAATTATAATATATATATATATTATTTCCTTTAATTATACCATTCTCTTTCATGGTAATATAGAGATTTTCAAGTAGGATTTTAAATTATGTACATTGACCATGATTATTATTTTTTAATTTAAAGTATATTAATTTAATTTAATTTATGATAGCAAATTATTATTACATGTATTATTCTCATAATTAATTTTTCTTATAATTTCCATATAAATAATCCAACATAGTTTAGGTGAAATTGTCAAATATATATTGAAAGTTTGAAACTATGTGAAGGTCCTAACTCTCCTGATTTTTACTAATTAGTAATTACCTTGTAAAGAAAATAAGTTAAAATGCAATATGTGCTCACACACGACTATTTCTAAACTAAAGAAAGTTCATTTGCTTTTATATCATAAGTTTTTTTAAAAAAATTAATTTATTAGGAAGTTGTGTAATTTCCCTATAAATAAGTAAATAATTTAGACTAAAATGAAAGTTTATGTGCTTTTAGGACAATTGGGCTTTGGGTAATAAGTAGGAAACTTCGGGTCTGGTAAGGGAAGTAAGTTTACTTTCTGTGGGCCGGTGAGATTAGTCTTTTCTGGCCTTTTGGGCCTTTTTAGGGTTTTATCACTTTTTGTACTTTTGTATGTATGTGTGTATAGCTGTAAAGTAATGGCCTACCAGTCATTTTTTAAAGGTCCACCTTTAAAGTTGTAACATTAATTTTAAACTTGTTACATTTTCAATAGTATAAGCTTACCCATAAAAATGATTGAGTTGGTGTAGGAGAAGAATCCCACAACGGAGATAGAGATCAAATGTCATTCTGGTGGTTATACTCCACCTATTATCTTCTAACTTGAATTCCTCGTATAGAGTTTGTCTAATGAGATTTATATCTTTACGTTTTACGTAGAGACTACTGATTAGGGATTGAATTCCACTCTAATTCCTTCTCCAGAGAATATGTTGGTGTAGCATTTGTAGTATCCCAACAGGATGTCAAAGTGCCTTCTCGATTGAGCTCGTCGCATGAGACTCGCCTAATGCAATTTACATCTCTTTATAGTTTGAAACTATTGCACATAAATGTTTATCCAATGCATAGTATATAAGAGGTTTCTTTGTTTTAATAACAGTAAATTAGAAAACTCAATATTTCAAGATTTTAATTTCTATTTAATTTGTCGGTTTCACATTCTTGTAGACTTATATCAATATGCTACTAGCAAAGTCTTTAACTTTAAGTCTACGTTTGCATACCTTCATGAGTCTTTGGGGAGGCATTTGCCCTGATGTCACACCTCTTTTTAGGTAGAAGAATTTTCTTTGTTCTTTATTTTATTTTTATTTTGGGTGCTTCGTTATTCTTTCTTTGTCTTTCTAAAGGAATTACGAAGTCTTTTTATTAATGCATTGACTTATTTCCTCAGCATGTGTGTGTGTCAAAAGGAAACTAAAGGGAAAAAGAGAATAATAGCGATAAAGTGAACAATGTTTTTCTTTATCTTTTTGTGCTAATAGCAATTTTGATCTCTCAATAATTAGTAAATGTCAATTCTATTATTCTTCATATTCCATTAAGTATATTTAAGTTTCAATTAATTAAAATAAACACTTTAGATTCTTTTCAAATGTTCATAAACACATCATAACTGTTATTCATTCCATTACTTAAGTATACATGTATATAAACTAAATTTGTTATGTTACTTCATATATATATCTTTGTTACACTACTCCATATTTGTTGATAATGTTATTGCAAACATTATACAAATAATTCACAATTCATTCATAAATGACTAAAATAATGTCAACTAATTTAATGAACACAAAATATGCCAAGGACCAAAATCAATTAATAATTGAGTTGGATGGTGTATATAATTTTACTTAGAACTTGAATCCCAAGGAAACAGACAAGGAGAAGCATCAAGGAAAATTATTATTTTTAAGAAAGTGAATAAAACAAAAAAGTCAGTTTCCTACGAAACATATTGTTTTTCTTCTCATATGAAAGTGTCTGGTTATTTTTAGGAGCCGTTTGGTACGTTATAAATTATTTATTTATTCTTTGTTGGCATAAAATCTAATATTATGTATGAGATAGGAGGTGGTATAAGAATTCAGAGATTAGTATTCACGAATTAAAATGTTAAAATGATCAAACTAACTCTTAAAATAGTAAGATTTTTGTCGGCTTAAAGTGTAAAATAAATATCTTTAAATTTACACTATGTACTAAAATGTTATATATCAAGGCAAATATTCGATAAAAAATAATTTTTATATAATTAATTTTTACATTATTAATCTCTACCAAACCTATTTGAAAGGGAATGAGAATAAGGAGAAGCACAAAGGGGATGAATAAATAACGTGAAAAGACAAAAAAGAGACTTTCCTGTTATTTTCTTTGAAAAGCATTTGGAATCCAAGGGGGGCCTTGCGTGTGTGTTACGAAAATTTTCCACTATAATTCTATAAACCCTTAGATTTGTTAGTAAATTTCACTTAAATATTTAAATTATGACATGTTTCGATTAAGCATTTGAATACATTATAAAATTTTTTGTTAAATAATTTTTAGCTGAAATTTTGAAAAAGTTTTACTTATATTTTCAAATGCTTATTATGTAAATAAGTTAGCTAATGAAAATATGTCATATTCTTTAGTTATAAATCACTAGTCTCAATAAGCCATAAAATATCATGTTTGATTTTATTGATACGAATATTAATAATTAAAGGAAGTGTCACATTTTATGTGACTACATAATGAACACTTGAGAATACACAAAAAAAAGTATTTTTCAAATTTGAATCACAAGTGTATCAAAGAAACACTTTATTGTAATGTTTAATTGAAACAAATCATAATTCGAATGTCCAAACGAATTTTTTTATAAATTCAAGTTCTCAATTAAAACAAGTCATTTGTAATCCAACGAAAAAAAATTGGAAGTTGAAATGTAAATAAGATTCATAGAGGTTCAATATTTGCAATTTCATAGAAATGTAAATAAGTCATTTGAGTTGAGTTGAATATGTATTTTTTAGAGGAAAAAAAAGGAATAAAGAAGAGGTCGACTTCATGAATGGGTACATAACTTTAACTTTGTTCCTCTGAGGCTCTAAGGCCTAAGCTATTATACTCTTTTTTGGGTAATAGAAAGTTATTTAGCTTTATCAAATATCATGAAAATCACTAAACTAATTTATCTAATACAGTTTACTTTAACTTTAACAAAATATCAAAAAATCATGAAGAAAAAAATAAAACTTTATTTGGAAAGAAGAAACCAGCATAAGCACAAAAAAATATTATTGGGCCACTACAAGATGTGGTTCATATTTTTGTTTTGGGCAATTTTAGAGAATGGGCTTTTCAAAGAAATTGTTCAGTAGGGAAATTTTCAAAAAATGTCAAAATCCCTCAATTTCAGTTTTTAATTGGGATCGTTTATAATTCGAGTTTATTTTTGCATATATAACGAGATATTTTCCCCCCAACATACTAGTATTTTTCTTTTAAAACACAGTAAAATATACCGTATCCACACACAATATATAATCCTAATAGAAATTGCGGGAATACAACATTTAATTTTACTATATATGTATGTATATGTTTTTCAAAACAAAGGTTGAATGTATGTATAAGCATATGTTAAGATATCAATTGTAAGTGTGAACAATTGAATCCAAATGTACATGTTTTTTTATTGTCTGTGTAGGATATATAAAATATGTTATATGTATGTATGGAGGACCAACACCTACAATTATATTTTTTATTTATATTATACGTATAGGTCGGATATTTATTGTCCTCTCTATTCAATGAGAGTTCATTGCTAGAATTTTTAGATATACAAATATGTATATGAATTGATAGATGATCTCATGGGCTTTCTCCCCCGTTACAACAGCAACAACAAAAAAGCATACGGATGGACGATTGCCTGTTTGGATGGGTATATTTTTGGGCTTATAAGTTACAAGTCAAGACATAAGTAGAATTTCTAATGTTTATAAATTTTAACTTATTTTTTACTTAGAACATTTAAAAATAAATCAATTCAAATCGACTCTTAGAATGTTTGGTACAAAGGAAAGTATTTTCATGGAAAAGATTTACCTAAAAAATATTTTGTTGGAAAATGATTGAGTTTCCACTTATCTTCTGGTGTTCGATAAGAAAGTAAAAAACATTATATCAAAGATCATTTATATGTAATCTAGCAAAATACTATATGGGCGAGATGAGGTGGTTCAGGGGTGGCGGGGGGTCAAGGGAGGGTAGTGGGTGGTGGATGGGTTGAAAAGAGATAACTTGTTATGTTACTTATATAACTTGTTTTCCTTATTTTTTT